GTCTGGCTGCATTTCATGGACACGAGACCCACAAAAATCTTCTATGCTCTTCCGCCATCTTGTCTCCTCCTCCCCCGTATATTTTTGATATAGACCGAGTGTCTGTGTTTTGACACAGTTCCCAAGTGCTAACATTTACTATCTAACCTTTTTTTTTTTTTTTTTTTTTTTTTTGATAGAGAGAGAGTTTGTGTGCGTGCGAGTGGGGGAGAGGTGCAGAGGGAGAGAGAGAAAATCTTAAGCAGGCTCCATGATCAGCATGGAGCCCAATGTGGGGCTTGAAACCATGAACTGTGAGATCATGACCTGAACTGAAATCAAGAAGCTCAACTGACTGAGCCACCCAGGCGTCCCTCTGTCTAACGTTTTAAAGAAGTCTTCCAGCCCCTGTTAGAATATCAGTGCTGTGCTGGACGTATGAGGTGTTGGGGTAAGAATCCTGGTCCAGAATCCTGGAAGTTCCGAACTCAGTCCTCCCACCTGCCCTGTTTTACTTTTAGATGTTGGCCAAACCCCTGTCTCCCCTGGGCTCCGGCGTTCAGCCTTTGCCTGGAGGGTAGGCTGTAGCCTTGGCGGGAGCCTTGTGCACGTTCTCCGTCAACCTTGCCAGACCCAAGCCGCTTATGTCCAGAGAATTTCTCGGAGCTCTAGCAGGATTGAAATCCCGGCTCTACCATTCATTGGCTGTATGACCTTGAGCAAGCCATTTCGTTTCTTGGAAGCTTGGTTTCTAGGTCTGCAAAACGGGGATTATAACGTAGCCAACTTTATGAAGTTAGTTAAAATGTGCTTCGAAGCTTAGCTGACGTCCAATAAATGGCCACAATAAGGGTTCATAGTAACACTTAGAACACTTTGCAAAGGCGTCAGCTCTGATTGACAGGCAGCCAGGGATCGGGGTCGCGGGAGCTGAGAGCCTTGGCCCAAGCTAACATGAAGGCAGACTTGCTAAGAGAAATGAACCCTCTAGGGTTTTTTAAGCTGCCTCAGAGAAGTCCTGCTTCCGGGGCAAACTTTGTCGAGGGGGTTTAAGGCAGGGGAGAGGTCGCATGTAGGTGGTGCTGGCAGGTTGGGGGGCAAATCAAGCTGAGTTTTCAGATCCGTGGGTGCCGGGGGCTCCCTGGGTCTAGCGGGGAAGCCGTTCCAATGCAGAAGCCATGAAAATCTAAACTCACTCAGCCAGCGGTTTGCTGTCATGCATCGAAGTGCGTTAAATCCTCCTGACTTGGGGACACTAGCCGTTGAATGAGCTTGGGACAGCTGCCGGGGCCCTCGGCTTCCCCCTGGAGAAGACGTAGAAGTCAGGCCTTACCTGAGGGTTCATGAGACCCTCGGTGGCAGTGATGGAACTTGACCTTGAGCCTCTAGGATCAAGATCCGGACCCTGGAGGACAGCGTAGGACCCTGGGCTCCACACCAGTGGAGTGGCCTGGCCTGACCTCTGAGCAGGTACGTCACCTGGGCTGTGTGTTCTGCAGGGAGGGGTGCGTAAAAGCTCTTCTCGGGGCGCCTGGGCGGCTCAGTCGGTTAAGCGTCCAACTTCGGCTCAGGTCATGATCTTGCAGTTCACGAGTTCAACCCCCACATCGGGCTCCATGCCGACAGCTCAGAGCCTGGAGCCTGCTTCGGATTCTCTGTCTCCCCCTCTCTCTGCCCCTCCCATGCTCATGCTCTCTCTTTCTCTCTCTCTCTCTCAAGAATAAGTAAACATTAAAAAAAAATTATGAAGTCCTATCTCAGAATGTGACCGT